TCATGACCTGAGCGGAAGGCAGAGGCTTTAACCCTCTGAGCCACCCAGGCGCCCCAGTTATTGGAAAGCTTTTAAATGTGCTTGGAACAAAGGGGATATACGAATGTACCTTTGCAGCGGGAAATCCCAAAACCTAAATGGAGGTCACGGGTTTCTGGTGAAAATTTCGTGTTTGCATTGAAATGGCCTGAAAGACAAAAATGCGCTCCAGAGGGTGAAGCCTCCGTACAGAAGGGGGAATGGGTTGGCCCGTACTCCCTTCCTGGGAGGACTGACAGCTGCCACGTGGTCAAGAAGGCGGCCCCACAGCCTGCTTGCCTGGGTTCGAATCCTGGCTCCGTGGGTTTCTAGCTGGGGGATCCCGGGAGCCTGTCTTCTGCCCGGGAAAGTGGGCATGCTGATGAGTGGCTGTCGTTTTGGATAGTTCCTCTCTGAAACACCAGTGACAGCAGATGGCAGTAGTTCCATTTTCTATTTTGGAATTGGCCTTAATGAGGAGACAATACAGAGCGGTGGGTGGAGAGCTCAACTTCCAGAGAAATCCTGGCCCTGCCACCTGGCAGCCCTTCAACCCTTGGCCACTGGTTCTTAAACTCTTTGGTCTCAATGTCTTAAAAGTCATTGAGGACTCCCGAGAACTTCCGTTTTTGTGAGCGCTACCTATCAATATTTGCTGTATCAGAAATTAAAACTGATGCTAAAAAAATTTTTGTTTTTGAGTTATAATTCCCGTAACACAAAATTCATCCATTGAAAGTAGTATATTCATGGGGTGCCTGGCTTGTTCAGACAGTAGAGCGTGCGACTCTTGATCTTGGGGTTGTGGGTCTAAGCCCCACATTGGGAGTCCTTAAAAATAAAAATCTTTTAGGGGGCGCCTGGGTGGCTCAGTCAGTTAAGCCTCTGCCTTCAGCTCAGGTCATGATCCCAGGGTCCTGGGATCCAGCCCTGCGTCAGGCTCCCTGCTCCGTGAGAAGCCTGCTTCTCTTTCTCCCATTCCCCCTGCTTGTGTTCCCTCTCTCTTTGTCTCTCTGTCAAATAAATAAATAAAATCTTTAAAAACATTTTTTTTAAACCCAAGGACACGAAAGCACATATTCAGTTAGTGGTCAGAGCAGTGACATCCTCATGTCACACAGTCTCCAGAAGACTCCATGGTACCCTTGTGAGAGAATAAGAGTCACAAAGGCAAACACATTTTAGTATTATTATGGATATAGTTTGTGGACACCCTGAAAGCATCTTAGGGAACCCCCCACCAGGGTCCCCGGACCAACAGTCAGAGACTGTTGCTATCATTGCCTGACCAATTTAAAAAAAAAAAAGAAAAAGAAAAGAGATGCTCCCTCCATAGCTGCTTCTCTCACTCTTGGAGGGAAAGTGTCCCTGGCCATGAAGCTGAAGAGCATAGAAACCCCAGTTGTTTGGCCACAAGACAAGCATCCCAGTGCCAAATACTGCAGAGGGTCAAGGCAGTTGACGACTAAGAATAGAGCGGAGAATTTGTCCAGGAGGAGGTCAGCGCGACCTTCGGGAGTGGCAGTAGGGGAGTTGGGGCTGGGGCAGAAGCCGGAGGGCCCCGGGGAGGAGCGGGTGGCAGGTGAGCCAGGGGAGACAGCAGGTGCTGGACACTTGCTCAAAAGCTTGGGGGAAGAGGGAAGGTCAGAGGAGGGTCTGTGGGTCACATTGGTGTATTTCACCAAAGTTAACTCCTGCAGCCAGCACTGTGACTGCCGCTGGGGTGGTGGCCATGAGGGCAGATACATTTGTCAGAACGCATCAGACTGCATCCGTAAGGTCAATGCGTCTCTTCTGTCCCTATACCCAAGACCAGAAATTAGTCCTGAGGGCAGACGCCAGCCGGTAGGGGGAGAGCGAGATCCACGGCTCAAAGAGAGGTTTGCGGTTCAAGTTCTGAGTGTGAAAGCCAAGTTTCCGAAGGCAGCCAGAAGAGGGGCATAAAGACAGAGCTGCTTTTTGCATTCTGGGAGCCCTCGGTCACGCCCCCACACCCACCCCCACCCCCACGCCCACGCCGGCCTTCTGGATCTTTCTTGCAGCCAGAGAGCTGGAGAGAATATTTCCCCAGCACCCGCTGTGTGCCGGGTTGGGAGCAACTCACGCAGTTCTCACGGCAGTCCGGTCCTGTCAGCTAGATCCCAGGGTTATTCCCACTTTTGCCAAATTAAGCCAAGGCTCAGGGAAAGGAAATGGCCAACCCTGGACTCGAGGTCATCTTGCCCAATCCTTGATCCCTATAACCTGAAGCCCCTGGTCGGTCCCTACCCCATCTGCACAGTGTTTTGTATGGTCTTCTTTAAAATGTACCGTCCTTGGGGTGCCTGGGTGGCCCAGTCGGTTAACATTTGCCTTCAGCTCAGGTCATGATCCCAGCACCCTGGGATCGAGCCCCTCATTGGGCTCCCTGCTCAGCAGGGAGTCTGCTTCTCCCTCTCCTTCTGCAGTTTCCCCCGCTTGTGCTCTCTCTCATCCTCTCTCTGTGTGTCAAATGAATAAATAAAATCTTAAAAAAAAAAAAAAAGTACCACCTTGGGCATGTGTAGACTGGCAGCGATCCTGTTTCATTTCTTACTTTTTTCCCCTTATTTTTCATACCCAGTATTGCCCTAACATCCACCCACGATGCCTCGCACACGTCCAGCGGCTTGCATCCCACCAGCTGGGTGGTCTCCAGGGGGGTGCCCATCAGCACCCATTCTCCCAGGGAGGGAGGTCCATTTGCCTTTGAGTCCCCTCCGGTGCAAATGACACTGCTGTGGACGTCTGTGGGCATGCTCCCGCGCAGATGTCTCTGACGATGTCTTTGGGGCACCTCACCCAAGTACAGAGTCGCCCGCGCTTCCTTTGCTAACGTTCCAAACACCAGCCTGTGTTCTGGGCGGCTGACCCTGTCCACGGTCCCTGCCGCAGTGCGCAGTCAGCCCTGCTAGGAGGGTCGTTTCAATGATGTGAATTTTTTCCGGTGCAGTTGGTAACGTTAGACAGTTTGAGCAGAATGCGGATTTCACCTCTGCTTACGGAGGCTCTCGCCCACCCCGGAGAAAGAGGACAGCACTCAGTTGTGTGAGCCTGTGGGAACCCACAAAGCGCGCACACACTCCCCACCCCCGAATGGAGCTTCTCCGAGGCCCCTCGCTTCCCCCATGTGTGCCAGGAGACACACTCAGCCTCATCTGCCGCTAGAACTTTTTTTTGGATTTCAGATCACCCTCCTTCTGCTGCCTCGCAGTAACTCACACGCGCACCCCCTCCAGTGCCTGCTTCCGCAAGCAGAGTGTGGGTCTTTTTCAAAGTCAAATGCCATCTTCCTTTCTGGGGTGTATAGATACCTCATAAGCACTGTCCTCCCCTGGGGGTGCCTGACTGGCTCAGTCACACGTCTGCTTTCAGCTCAGGACATGATCTCAGGGTGCTGGGATTGAGCCCTGCGGCAGGCAGGGAGCCTGCTTCTCCCTCTGCTCCTACCCCCGCTCGTGCGCGTGCTCTCCATCAAATACATAAAATCTTTAAAAAGATTTAAAGAAATAAAATGCAGATCAGAGAAGAAACAGCCCATTAAGTCTTATTCTGCAGCCCCTCCAGCAGTTTGTTTAAAATAAATAAATAATGTCCTCCCTGACTCACGCCCAGTTTTCCCATCTGGAGGGGGCAGGGGCAGATCAGCTATGAGGGCCCCCACCTCCCTCCACCACAGCCTCACAACTGTCCCCTCCGTCCCTCAGGATGACACGGCATGGCAAGAACTGCACAGCAGGAGCCGTCTACACCTACCACGAGAAGAAGAAGGACACAGGTACGGGGTTTGGGAGGGGGACAAATGTCTCTTGAAGTCACCATCCCCGCTCTACCTCTCTGGTTGTACCTTCCGGGCATGTCTGCCCCCGCCCTCCACGGATGGTCATGACTTATGAGGAACAGCCTGTGTGATCCTGTACTCCCCTCCCACCCCTGTAATGGGCACTTCTGTACGTGACCTCACCTAAGACTCCCGACCACCCACTGAGGAAGGGATCGTATCGCCGTTGTCATGGCTGTGTTCCAGCGGCAGAAACTGAGGCCCAGAGAGATATAGGGCCTTGAGTTGGGGCAGAGGGGCAGAGGGTGAGGGGAGTCAGCCTTGAGCCTCTCTACCTGGCTACCTCGGTGACAGGGCCTGCCTGTCACTTACCCTCCAGATGAACACCTTCCTGTGGGTTGTACCCCTATCCCCAGCATAGAGACACACAGACTGCCTGTTTCTCGGAGGTTCCACCCCCCTGCCTCCCCCTTCCCCCTTACCCCCTGCTGCCTCCAAGATCTCTCTGTGCCTTTCTCTTGGGGTTTGGCAAAGGCCACATCTCCTGGCATCCCATCCCTCTGTCTCTGTCCCCAGCGGCCTCGGGCTATGGGACCCAGAACATTCGACTGAGCCGGGATGCTGTCAAGGACTTTGACTGCTGCTGCCTCTCTCTGCAGCCCTGTCATGACCCTGTCGTCACGTGAGCTGGGGACCTGCATGGACGGGGCCGCATGCGGGGGTCTGGCCGCCCGCATAGCCGGGGCACCCTGGGCAAGCCCCTTCACCTCTCAGAGCCTCGGTGTGCTCATCCAAGACATGGGCATGATCCTAACGTGTTCCACGGGGTGTGGAAATGAATGTCTTAGGGTTGGGGAGCTGCGCCGAGCACCCAGTGACCTGCTCGCTGTAAGAGGTGTTAATGGGTGCTCAGGGCAGGGAGCCGACACTTCTCACCCTGTCCTGTCCTCACAGCCCGGATGGCTACCTGTATGAGCGGGAGGCAATCCTGGAGTACATTTTGCACCAGAAGAAGGAGATCGCCAGGCAGATGAAGGTGATGGGGATGGGGGTGGGACGGGGGAGGGGCAGGCGGATCTGATGCTGGGCTCACAAGCAGAACCACCCTGGGCTTCCTTTCTGAGTTCCTTTTCCCTCTGAGCCTTCCCTCGCTCTTCTGCCAGCCTGGTGCACCACCCCCTCCCATTTCTGCTTAAATCCTTCTGCTGCAGGTTCAGCCCAGGAGTTGCCTCCTCTGACCTGCTAGTCCAGAGCCCCCCAGGGTCTGCCCTTGCCACGGCTTCTCTTGACACTTGTTGGGTTGTGATTCTGTCTGAGGCCAACACGTGCCCACTTCCCCCACAGATCTCTTGCCCGCCCCCTGGCCCTAGGTTCTCCGCGAATGCTTGTTGAGAGAATTGATGTTACCTCATCTCTCTGGGCCTTCATTTCAGTGGCTCCAAAATGGGCCGATGGGGCCAAATTGGGCAGCGCAGGGCAGGCGGGAGACCCGCACAGATCAGAATTTAAAGGGCCTTTACTTGGAGCCACGCCCACTTCCCATGGGTGAACTATTTTCCTGGATAGGAAGGACCCGGTTTATCACCGTGTTTGAGGCACAGCTGGCCTGCCCCCTCCTTTCCCGGCCAGGCTTCCCAGACCTGCAGAAACACGGAGGGCTGATTCTTGCTGAGCCATCTGCCTTGAGCGAGTGGCTTCGCCGGCGCCCGCGATCCCCCGCTTGGTCTAGTGGCTGCCTGGGTTCTCCCTCATCACGGTGACCACGCCAGATAGCCCTCCCCCACAGCAGCGGTCACCTGCAGTGCTCTCCTCCCCCACCCGGGGTGGCCAATCTCAGATCTCAGCCCCGCGTCCCTGCATCCGCGCACGCGCACACCCACACCACCTGCACAGCCCAGGCTCCGGGAATGTGAAGTGCTCCTCACTCTCCTGGAACTCACCTCCAGGGCAGGACGGGGTCTGTAGTACCTACACTCTACAATAGAACGTGGCCCACAGGTACATTTATGGAGCGCTTGCTATGTGCCAGGCAAGGTTTTAAGCGTTTCCAAAAAATCATCCTGCATAACCCCGTGAGCCTGCGAGGTAGGTCGCGGTTGTTAGCCCGTTTTACAGACGAAACAGACCAGAAGTCACAGCGCTTACTGGAAGCCACAGAGCTCATCAGTGACCGAGGCAAGGTTTAAGTCTGGGCATCTGTCTCCTGCCAAGCGGCAGACCGCTCTGCTGCCCAGGAAGAGAGAAGCCACTGAGTCCCAAACCAGCTAAGTGGGAGATGACCTCTGTGCCCTGCAGGAGGGGAAAGGACAAGCAAGGGCAGCAGAGCCACACCGTAGATCACAGCATAATAAAGGTTCACACCCTGGCAGTCACCAGCCTCTGGGAACAGTACCAGGATTGTCCCCTTTGTTGGCCTCAGTTTTCCCACCTGTGAAATGGGAAGAGCCGCCGTCAGACTCACAACCCGCAGGGAGACGCACAGTCCACTTTTTTCTGGCTGTCCACAGGCCTACGAGAAGCAGCGGGGGGCCCGGCGGGAGGAGCAAAAAGAGCTGCAGCGGGCTGCGGCCCAAGACCAGGTGCGGGGCTTCCTGGAGAAGGAGGCGGCCATCGTGAGCCGGCCCCTCAACCCCTTCACGCCCAAGGCAGCCTCTGGGAACAGCCCAGGTGAGGGGGAGCAGACTGGCAAGTGAGTGGGGGTCCCTCGGGGCCGGGTGCCTCCCCAGGTGTGGCAGCTCACCGTTTCCCCCGGCAGATGATGCCCGACCTGGGTCCAGTGCAGGCCCCACAAGCAAGGACAAGGACAAAGCACTGCCCAGCTTCTGGATCCCGTCGCTGACCCCCGAGGCCAAGGCCACCAAGCTGGAGAAGCCGGTGAGCATCCCCAGCGCCCTGTGCCCACTTGGGCCCAGAGGGCCAGAAGCCCCCAGGGTCCCTTCCCTGCCTGGCACACACACCCCCACCCCTCCCCGCAGTCCTTAACTACACCTGGCCCCAGCCCTGCCCGCCGACCCTGCCTCCTTTTTGTCCTGCGCAGTCGCGCATCGTGACCTGCCCTATGTCCGGGAAGCCACTGCGCATGTCGGACCTGACCCCTGTGCGCTTCACGCCGCTCGACAGCTCCGTGGACCGCGTGGGGCTCATCACACGCAGTGAGCGCTACGTGTGCGCTGTGACCCGGGACAGCCTGAGCAACGCCACGCCTTGCGCCGTGCTGCGGCCCTCGTGAGTCCCGCGAGTCACCCGGGGGAGGATCCGGGGACTGGGGGGCGGGACGGGGCTCGGGGGTGTGGCTCTCCTTCTTGGGGGCGGGGCCTCTGATCGGTGCCCCCGACGCTCACGCTCACCGTAGTGGGGCTGTGGTCACCCTGGAGTGCGTGGAGAAGCTGATTCGGAAAGACATGGTAGACCCCGTGAATGGGGAGAAGCTGACAGACCGCGACATCATCGTGCTGCAACGGGTGAGCCGCGGCCTCGCTCGCCGAGGCCCCGCCCCCTCCTCCCCGGGATCACGCCCCTCCCGGGAGGCCAGCCTCCTCCACAGCCCCACCCGCGCCCTTCCACCCGGGTCCTGCCTTACCTTATAGGGTTTAGGACTCTCCCACCCCCCTGCAGCCCGACCTGCCCCCAACTTGGCTTTGTCCCCACCTCCCCAGGGCGGTACAGGCTTCGCGGGCTCCGGAGTGAAGCTGCAGGCTGAGAAGTCGAGGCCGGTGATGCAGGCCTGAGTGCACTGGAGACCAAATAAACGGGCAGGGACTCATTGGCCTCGTGGTGCCTTCCTTGGCCGCGCCGGAGCCCTAGGGCCCCCCTGGGCAGCCCTCCAGCCTGTGCCGCGACCAGAATCTGAAGGCACAGGCTAATTATGTTAGAAGTGGTCTGACGTTAGGAGTAAAACCTGGAGTGAATGCACACGCACGGCATCAACATTGAGCAAGAGTGGCCCGAAGTCCCAGTGCGAAGCGCGAGCGCACGAAGGCGTCAAGTGAACAGGCTAAGTAGAAATCCCCCTGCATCGTTCTGCCTTATGCCACACGGGAAGCCGGTGAGATCTCCCGGATAGCCTCTCTGAAAGCCGGGTGCTGAGAGCAAGCCCCTGGGACCCAGTCTAGAGAAGGCAGTCGGGAGCCCTCCTCTCTGACACGACTGCAGAGGCCAAGAGCAAGAAGAAGGCCCTCCTCCGAGCCTTGCATAGGCTGCGGGGGGCACAGGACCTGGCAGGGGTGAGGAGCACAGCCTGCAAGGGCGAGGAAGCTGCAGAGCGTGGCGCCTGGCCGGCCTGCCTGCAGTTGGCTTGCCTGGGAGCAAAGGGGCTCAGAGCTTTGCTTTTAATGACCATTGACTCCCAAAAGCAACCCCGGGCAGTGTGCGAGGCAGAGCATAGAGTCAGGCAGAGATCAGAAAGATCAAACCTTCACATTCCTGCCTCCCCGAGCAGATCCTTCCAGATCTTTCTCCACGTAGGTACACACCACAGTGTTTTCAACCAACGTGACCTCTCAGTGCACATACCATTCTGTTCAGTGAACAAGCTCGACCTTTTCACTTCTGTAAAAGTAAAAGATCTCATCTAATGCCCAGACCCAATTCAGGGGATCAGGAAGTATCCTTCACTGCCCTTTGCTGAAGCCCCTTTGGCCGTGGAGGAAGGCTGTAGCAGGAGGGTGGGCGGTGTCGTCCTTGCACCCTGGGGAGCCCCCCACACCCAGAATTTGCTCTCTTAAATACTTCCAGAACCTTCCTTTTGTCCCTAAGGGACCTCACACCCTACTCTTGGGACCCCAATCCTTGGAAACGTTGCAGCTGCCATTCAAGGAGCCCATTCAAGGGCCTGTCAATCTACGGTTCTCTTGAGTCCTGGCCACGGTACTGGAAGAGGGGGACATTTGTACCCATTTCACAGAAGAGCCCACAGAGTCAGCAGTCTGCCCAAAGTTGTAGCAGAAGCCAAGTTCACTTAGAAGTCAGCCACCTGCGGAGACCTCCCCATCCCAGCCCTTCCTCCCCTAGGTAATCCCACACTGGTACCCCAGAAACCTCTGCCCCTTAACAAACTCCCACCTAATGGTTTCTACCCAGAGTATTTAAAGTCACCCCCTTGGTCCCTAAATGCCCCCAATCCTTAATCTCTTTCTCAAGAGCCACAACCACCCCTGGGTCCTTCCAATTCTCTCTCAGCCCCCTCAGGGATTCTAGTCTTGCTTATGTGTGCTCAGACCATACCCCAAATAAAAGCTTCAAGGAGTGATTGGGGCGCCTGGGTGGCTCAGTGGGTTAAGCCTCTGCTTTTGGCTCAGGTCGTGATCCCAGGGTCCTGGGATCGAGCCCCTCATTGGGCTCTCTGCTCAGCAGGGAGCCTGTTTCCCCCTCTCTCTCTGCCTGCCTCTCTGCCTACTTGTGATCTCTCTCTCCCTTTCTCTGTCAAATAAATAAAATCTTAAAAAAAAATAAAAGCTTCAAGGATTCCCAGTCTTGCACCTTTGTTTCCACAAGGAACCCAAATCCCACTGATTCACAGGCCCTTTGAGACACCCTCTGTGGGGAGGAGGTGATGGGGTATGTGCCCAAGTCCTCGCTCCAAGAAAGTAGTTTCCTTTGAGATTTTGAAGGTGACAAGGAGAGGAAGCAAGAGTCTGACCACAGCTTCAGCTACGTCAGCAGGAGGAAGAGAAGTGGAAAAAAAGGATGCATCTTCTTAGCAGAGGTTCCAGAGACACTGGTCTAAAGCTGCGAGCAAGAAAGGGGAGGCAGGGCTTACCCCTCACAGCGCCTTCCTACAGGGGCCCCAGCCTCAACTGGCTCATGGAGGGCACAGAAAACTGAAATTCTTCTCTTTTTCTTTTCTTTCTTTCTCTCTTTCTTTCTTTCTCTCTTTCTTTCTTTCTTTCTTTCTTTCTTTCTTTCTTTCTTTTTCTTTCTTTCTTTCTTTTTGAAAGGAAGAGATGGGTTATGGGGGAAAGAGCAGAGGGGAAGGGAGAGAGAGAATCTTAAGTTTCAACTCAGGGCACCATTTGGGGCTCGATCTCACAATCCTGAGATCATGACCTGAGCTGAAATCAAGAATCAGACGCTTAAACTGAGGGAACCACCGAGGCGCCGCTACGAATTTTTTTTTTTTTTTAATATCAGAAGATCTGGGGCGCCTGGGAAGCTCTGTTGGTTAAGCATCTGCCTTCGCGTCAGGTCATGATCCTAGGTCTTGGGATTGAACCCCTGTCTCACTGCCTTACTCAGTGGGGAGCCTGCTTCTCCCTCTCCCTCTGCTGCATGCCGCTCTGCCTACTTGTGGTCTCTCTCTGTCAAATACATAAAATCTTAAAAAAGTTGGGGGGGTGTGCCTGGGTGGCTCAGTGGGTTAAGCCTCTGCCTTCGGCTCAAGTCATGATCTCAGGGTCGTGGGATCAAGCCTGCATCAGGCTCTCTGCTCAGTGGGGAGCCTGCTTCCCCTCCTCCCTCTGCCTGCTGCTCTGCCTACTTGTGATCTCTTTCTCTCTGTCAAATAAGTAAAATCTTAAAAAAAAAAAGAAGAAGAAGAAGAAGAAGATCTGACTTCATGAGAGGCTTCTCCCCGGCTGCTTTCAAAATCACGTGGATTCAAACCACCCTCATCTAGACATGTGGGGGGCCACAGAAGAAAGAACTGAAAACAGAAACAGTTCAGTTCAGAAGTTCCTTCTGGAGAAAACAGGTTTCTTTTTTTTTTTTTTTTTTTTACCCCACTGGCAGGCATGGAAACTGGAGCAGTAATTTGGCCAAACCCAGTCAAAGCTTAACATACATGGATCCCGTGGCCCCACAATCTCACTCCGCTGACATGCACACTCAAGAGACGCACACACATGCCCAAGAAAACACGAACTAGAATGTTCACAGTAAGGGGCGCCCAGCTGGCTCAACTCAGAGGAGTGTGTGACTCTTGATCTCTTGAGTTGGAGCCCCATGTTGGGTTTTAGAGATTACTTAAAGGTAAAATCTTTTTTTTTTTTTTTTAAGATTTTATTTATTTGACACAGAGTGTGCGTACAAGCAGGGGGAGCAGCAGGCAGAGGGAGAGGGAGAAGCAGGCTCCCTGCTGAGCAGAGAGCCTGGTGCAGGGGCTTGATCCCAAGATCCTGGGATCATGACCTGAGCTGAAGGCAGAGGCTTTAACCCACTGAGCTACCCAGGCGCCCAATAAATAAAATCTTTAAAAAATAAAAAAATAATTTAAAAAATACCTGGGTTTGGTAGCTTCACTTTCTTAAGAAAAGAAAGAGAGAAAAGAAAAGAAGGAAGAAAGGGAAGAAAGAAAAAGAAAAGAAAGAAAGGTAGGTGGAAAGAAGGAAGGAAGGAAAGAAAAAGAGAAAGAGGAGGGAGGGAGGGAAGGAAGGAAAGAGAAAGAAAGAAAAGAAAAAGGAAGGAAGGAAAAAAGAAAGTTCACAGCAGCTCTGTTTGCAATCCCTGTGTCTGGGAATAACTGGAAAGCTTATGAACAGACTAGATGAATTGTGGGCCACACATAGTGGAGTGAAAAGGAAGGAATCATCTCCCTAGTATGAGTCCAGGCAGCGTGATTCCACTTCTCTAAAGTAAGTAAGCAAAACTGTGCTGTTTGAAATCAAGATAGTGGTTATCTTTGTGGAAGCCATGTCTGGGCCCTGCTAGGGACTGAGAGATGATATTCTGCTTCTTGACCTGAACACTAGCCACAAGCGCGTGTGCACGGTTTGTAGAAATTCATTCCCCCAAACACTTGAGTTGCAGACATCATGTATGTTAAAAAACTTACTGAAATTCACAGCAATAACAAAGAAATGTGCTTGGCAATTTGGCAACGTCTACCAAATTCATAAATTCCACTTCTAGGAACTTATCTGCAATTAAACTCATGGAAAATTCCAGATATGCTAGAGCCTTCTGTGCAACATTGTTTAGAAAAGACTGGAAACAGGGCACCTGGCTGGCTCATTAGATGTCTGCCTTTGGCTCAGGTCATGATCCTGGGGTTCTGGGATGGAGTCCTGCATCGGGCTCCCTGCTCAGGGGGAAGCCTGCCTCTCCCCCTCCCACTCCCCCTGCTTGTTCCCTCTCTCGCTCTGTCCCTCTCTGTCAAATAAATAAGTAAAATCTTTAAACAAAATTAAAAAGACTGAAAACAGCCTCAGTGGTGGTCATTGGAGAACTAGTTAGATTTTTATGGGTTGAATTGAAATAGTCTTCAAAATATATTCCCAGGGCACACGCCCCCCCCCACCGACTGGTTCAGTTAGGGAAGCATGTGACTCTTGACCTCGTGGCGATGAGTTTGAGTCCCACGTTGGGTGTAGAGATTACTTAAATAAATACATTTAAATATATAGTCTTTATTATCTCAATAAAAAAATAAATTATGAAAGTTTAAAATAAGAGGATTCTGATTTTTAAAAAAATTGTTATGTGAAACAAGAAAGGTTAAAAAAATATTGTTAGGGGGCGCCTAGGTGGCTCAGTGGGTTAAGCCGCTGCCTTCGGCTCGGGTCATGATCTCAGGATCCTGGGATCGAGCCCCGCATCGGGCTCTCTGCTCAGCGGGGAGCCTGCTTCCTCCTCTCTCTCTGTCTGCCTCTGCCTGCTTGTGATCTCTCTCTGTCAGATAAATAAATAAAATCTTTAAAAATATATATATATATTGTTAGTCATCTGCTATCCTTTCTATTAAAAAGAAAAACAGTGGGGCGCCTGGGTGGCTCAGTGGGTTAAAGCCTCTGCCTTTGGCTCAGGTCATGATCCCAGGGTCCTGGGATCGAGCCCCGCATCTGGCTCTCTGCTCAGCAGGGAGCCTGCTTCCTCCTCTCTCTCTCTGCCTGCCTCTCTGCCTACTTGTGGTCTCTGTCAAATAAGCAAAATCTTAAAAAAAAAAACCAAAACAGTTTGTACATATTTGCCTAAATCTATGTAAATTTCTCCCTGGAAAGAAATACAGGCTGCCTGTGAGGAGGCGAACTTGGTGGAAGAAAGACTCATGTTTAGCATATAACATCTTGTACATTTAGAATTTTGTATCCTATAGGTATATTGCCAAAACTTAAAAATAAGCAAAATGTGTAAAAGACCAAAAACCAAAAACAAAAAACCCAACCAAAAAACTGGGGAGAGGCACTAAGGGTGACAGGGTGCTGTTCAGCTTTCTGTCATAAGCTGTTCCGCACAAGTCATTGTTGATTATTTTGAATTTAGAAAAATGTTTTTAACTAGAATTTAAATGAACATTTGAAAAGAGAAAAAAAATTAAAATCTGAAATGTTTTCAAACATGCGGCCCCCAAAGATCTACAAGTTTATCCTATGCTTTCATAAACCAGTTCTCCACCTCCAGCCACTAGGGGGCAGTACATTACCATAGTTAAAAGCCTGGATTCAGACACTGGGATTCACATTCCAACCCTATCGGAGATAGCAGTTATAAACTCTGGATAAAACAGAAAACAATTACCTAAAGACACTGGAAAGTTGAGGGCGGCGGGGGAAGCAACCAGAAACTGGAAAGAAAGTGACACTTGATAAAAAAGAAATAGGTCGCTTGTGCGCTCAGTCCGTTGAGCCGCTGACTCTTGATTTCAGCTCAGGCCAAGATCTCAGGGTCTTGAGATCTAGCGGGGCATCGGGCTCCCGACTGGGAGTGGAGCCTGCTTAAGAAGAAAGAGGGGGCACGTTCTAGCCCCTGCTGAGAGGGGCAGCTAAAACTAAAACACCAGAGGAAGATCCAGTCTTCCTGGCGTGAAATAGCAGAGCAACAGGAAAGGTATAAATCTAGAAAAGAGATCCAGCATGGAGGCACTCCAAGTATTTTAATATAAACTCTGCTCAAATATCCAGCTGACCTCCAGAGCCACACCCGCATGGGGTACCCTCCAAACAGCCCAGCTAAACTTAAAAAATGTCAGCTAAAATTTGAGGCACAAATTTTAAAGGAGGGAGTTTTATAGAGATTACAGTTGGAATTTACCAACTTAATGGGTTACTCAAGAAAAAAAATAATTGATGCTCTTCAGAGGAACATAACAGACTCCAGTTTGTTTGTTTGTTTTTAAAGATTATTTATTTATTTATTTGACAGACAGAGATCACAAGTAGGCAGAGAGGCAGGCAGAGAGAGAGGAGGAAGCAGGCTCCCCGTGGAGCAGAGAGCCTGATGTGGGGCTCGATCCCAGGAGCCTTGGATCATGACCTGAGCCGAAGGCAGAGGCTTTAACCCACTGAGCCACCCAGGCACCCCAGACTCCAGTTTTTTACAGTGTATCCAGGATACACTCTAACATTACTAAAAAAAAAAAAAAAAAAAAAAAAAGGTAGAAAAATATGACCCATTCTCAAGATAAAAGGCAATCAGTTAACTGAGATCAACACCAAAATGACCCATATATTGGAACAAGAAAAAAAAAAAGATGTAAAAAATAGTTGTTATAACTATGCTCAAGAACCTAAAAGAAAGTATGTTTCTACTGAATAAGAAGAAATCTTGGTATAGAAATGAAACAATGAAAAAGAACAGAATAAGGGCACCTGGCTGGCTCAGTTGGTTCAGCATCTACCTTCAGCTCAGGTCATGATCCCAGGGTTCTAGAATTGAGCCCCAAGCAGGGAACTTGCTTCTCCCTCTCCCTCTGCTGCTCCCCCTGCTTGTGCTCTCCCTCTCTGTCAAATAAATAAATAAATAAATAAATAAATAAATAAATAAAATCTTTTTAAAAATAGAATAGAAATTCTAGAATGAATAATGGCAAGTTATGAATTTTTGAATGAATGAATGATTTTGGCAAGTTCACAGGTTACAAAGTTTTTTTTTTTAAGATTTTATTTATTTATTAGACAGAGATCACAAGTAGGCAGAGAGGCAGGCAGAGAGAGAGAATGGAGGAAGCAGGCTCCCTGCTGAGCAGAGAGCCGGATGCGGGGCTCGATCCCATGACCCTGACATCATGATCCGAGCTGAAGGCAGAGGCTCAACCCACTGAGCCACCCAGGCGCCCCAGGTTACAAAGTTTTTATACAAAAATAATGGTATTGTATATTGTAGAGGCAAGAAATCAGAACATGAAATTTAAAAGTAACTTCATTTGCCATACCCTAAAACCCAGAAAATACTTAGGAATAAATTTAATAAAAGATTTAACACCTTTACTCTGACAACTACAAAACACTGCTGAGAGAATGCCAACATTTGTATCTCCAGAAAAATATACTATGTTCATGGATTGGAAAATATAATACTGTTAAGATGCCAATTCTCCCCACATTGGTCTATACAGTTTACAGTCTCATCCTGGCTTGTTCCCATCTCTTTCCCCAAGAAGGAAAACAAAAAACATCAAATAAGGGAGATTTATTATTTGACTTATATTTTCTTTTATATTTTAGTTACTTATGATTTTTTTTAACCAATAGGCTTTATTTTTTAAAATTTTAATTTATTTGTCAGAGAGAGAGCACAAGCAGAGGGAGTGGCAGGCAGGGGTAGAAGCAGACTCCTCACTGAGCAGGGAGCCGATATGGGAGTCAATCCCAGGACTCTGGGATCATGACCTGAGCCGGAGGCAGATCCTTATCCGACTGAGCCACTCAGCCATCCCAAATAGGCTTTATTTTTTTTTAATATTTTATTTATTTATTTGACAGGGAGAGAGCACAAGCAGAGGGAGTAGCAGGAAGAGGGAGAAGCAGGCTTCCCACAGAGCAGGGAGCCCGATGTGGGACTCGATCCCAGGACCCCGGGACCATGACCTGAGCCGAAGGCAGACGCTTAACCAACTGAGCCACTCAGGGACCCAAATAGGCTTTATTTTTAAGAGCAGTTTGGGGTTTACAGAAAATGAGAGAAAAGAGCAGAGAGTTCCTGGGTGTACCCCTTACACCCCACCCCAGTTTCTCCTCTTATTAGCATAGTGCTTTAGTGTGGTACTTTGTTATAACTGGTAAGCCAACACTGATACATCTCCCCCGCCAAGAGAGAGGGAGAGAGGAGGGCAGGGGAGAGGGAGAGGGAAAGAATCTCAAGCAGGCTCCATGCCTAGCACACAGCCGGACCTGGGGTTCCAGCTCATGACCCCCAAATCATGACCTGAGCCAAAATCAAGAATCATACTCTTAACCCACTGAGCCATCCAGATGCCCCTTATTTGAGAAAAAGAGAGAGCAAGAGAGAACACGCAAGCACATGCAAGTGGGGGAGGGGCAAGGGGAGGGAGAGAATCTCAAGCTGACTCCCCACTGAGCGTGGAGCCTGACTCTGGGCTCCATCTCACAACCCTGAGATCATGACCTGAGCAAAATCAAGAGTCAGACATGAAACCAACTGAGCCATCGGACACCCCTCTAGAGGAGAATTTGACAAGTGGGTCTCATGGGGCTGCAGGAGGAATAAAATCCATCCTTCTGTCCCCACCCCAACTCAGCAGCAAGGAGACTATGTTATAACCCAAGACGCCTTATGGCTCACATCTACTCCTCTCCCCAAGACCCTCCAGGAACTCCCATGTCCCTGAGAGTAAACTCTGTCCATGTCTCTCTGGGTCTCTGCCTTTCGCGATCTTGTCCCACCACAAAGGGACCTGAGGACCTGTCCCCAAGACCTTGTATGACCCGCTCCCAGTCACCTCCCCACTCGTCCCACTTGCTGACTCCATTCCAGCCATACTGGCCTGCTGGCTGATACACACACACACACACACACACACACACACGACACACTCTGGCTTCAGGGCCCCTTCTGTTCCCTCTGCCCTGCCGGCTCTCCCTCCAGATGTCCCCAGGGCTTCCGAAACCTCTGTTCACCAGCACAGCCCCTCCGGGGCACTCAACAGAGCATTGCCTTCCTGCACCATCTAGAACCTTCTGTCTGGCTTGCTCATGGCTGGGTCCAGCCTGCTAGTTTTACTTTCCGTCTCCAGGAGTGCCCTCAAAGCCTGCTAACACCCCGAGTCCCCTTTCCAAATGCCCGACCTCTCCTTCAGCACCACAGTCCCCACAACGCCCAGCCACAGCCCCCGATTCCTCCCTGAGGCCCCTGTCCCCCTCTAAGAGACACACAGACAAGACCCCAGCACTGGAGTTTATTGCCTCCGTGGCAGAGAGGAGGCATTCTGGGGCCAGTGCCCTCGGGCCAGTGCCCTCAGGCGAGTCAAGGGCAGGGGTGGGGGTGGGGGGGATTTCTCTGCTGTGTGGTGTGAGGCTGGGATCGGGCACTGGGGTGGTGGGTGGAGGCTCCTGGAGGCTGAGCTTGGTTTGGGAGCCCCTCCCCGGTCTGGGCTGGGTGATTCTGCCAGTGAAAAATGGATTGTTCACTTGCCCTTAGGGTCTACGAGACCCCTGGGGGCAGGGTGGGAAGGGCTGGGAGGGGCTGCAATGTCTTGGAGAAGTTCACCTTGTCAGTCCCTGAGAGCTCAGTGGCAGAGGGACGTGGGTGGGGCATCCACACCCCGCAGGTCCAGATGGGGAGGGGCGGCCTGGTCAAGGGGGCCCCTCCTCAGGTCATCCCCTGGGGCTACAAGGCTGTAGCGCACACATGGGGGGGGTGGGCTCACAGCTCATCGTGGTGGCGTGTCAGGTCCTCGCCGTAGTTGGTGGCCTGGCTGCCCACAAACATGTTCCAGTTACTGAGGATCTCAGCCTTGCTCAAACGCCCATCCTGGAGGGAGGGTCAGAGGGCAGCAGGGGTGACGAGGGGCCCTGCCTGGGAGACTCCTCTCTGAACTTAGTCTGCCCCCCATCCGCGGGGGGTGTGGGGGGGTCTCTGTCTCTCCTTTTCCACCACCCCTTCCCCCCTCCCCCCCGCCATTTCCTCATTCATCCCTGGCCCAGCAGGACCCCGGGGCAGCTCCCCCCCAGTCTGGCCACATCTGCACAACAGCACCCTACGCGCACCTTGTCCGTGTCGCTCTCGTGCAGCAGGTGGTTGGCCTCCACCAACGGCTGGTCCTGGGCGGGGGGCAGCACCCAGTGGCCCACCTCGCTGCCGTCCAGCCGCCCGTCCTTGTTCAGATCGCGGAAGTCCCGGAACTGCTCCCGCTCCGTCTGCACCCAGGCCGGCTCCTCCTCCCCGGGCTCGGCCGAGTACAGATCCGCTGCGCCGGGCGACAGGGGCGATGTCAGGCCGGGTTCGGGGCCAGCGGGCACCCCGGGGCTCGGTCCCTGCCCTGCCGCCTCCCGACCGCGGGCACCCCCGGCAGCCCAGTGCCCCTGCTCTCCGGCCTCGGGCTCCTCCTCTGCTGTAATGGGGCTAACAGCGACGCGGGACCAGCAGGGGTAGGGGGAAAGGGACTGGACGCGTTGATCATTTCCTTGACCGGCTGTCAATCTGTTTGCCTGGGACAGGGGCGTAGGCCTGGTGAGGAGATACTAAAAAGCCACCTTTCCAATGGCTCACCCCGCTTTAAGAAGCTCCCTTGGGACACCTGGGTGGCTCAGTCATTTAAGCGGCTGCCTTCGGCTGGGGTCATGATCTCAGGGTCCTGGGATCGAGTTCTGCATTGGGCTCCCTGCTCTGCGGAGAACCTGCTTCTCCCTCTCCCTCTGCCTGCCTCTCTGCCTACCTGTGCTCTCTCTCCCTGTCAAATAAATAAATAAAATCTTTAAAAAAAAAAAAAAAAAGGCGGCTGCCTTCTGCTCAGGTCATGATCCCAGAGTCCTGGGATCAAGCCCCACATCCGGCTCCCTGTTCTACAGGAGCCTGCTTCTCTCTCTCTCCCTGTCCCTCTCCCTCTGCTCTTCCCCCTGCTTGTGCTCTCTCTCAAATAAATAAAATCTTTATTTAAAAAAAAAAAAGACTTATTTATTTGACAGAGAGAGAGAGAGAGCACATCCATCCAGAACATTTTCATCCTCCCAAAAGGAGACCTCTTTCCCATTAAGAAGTGAACCCCCTACACCGCCACCCCCACCCCAGCCCCAGGCCATGAATAATCTAATTCCACAGTGTGGCCCTCTGTGTCTGGCTTCTTTCACTTGGCACAGTGTTTTTATTTTGTATTCAAGTGTAGCTGACACACAATGTTACATTAGTTTGGGGTGTCATAGGTTTGGGGTGTGAGACCTAGGTGACTAGACTTACCCACACTGTAGCAGATGAGTACTTCCTCCCCTTTTAGGGCTGAATAACATCCCATTGTACCGCTCTCCCGCCTTCCACTTAGCATTCATCCCCCAGGGGCTTCTGAGTTGACCAGATGTCATTGTAGGAGCTGGGTACTCTACTCCCACCGTTTTTAAAATTTTTATTAATTTACTTGTCAGAGAGAGAGAAAGAGCACAAGCAGGGGGAGCAGCAGACTCCCCACCAAGCAGGGAGCCTGATGCAGGGCTCGATCCCAGGACAGTGGGATCATGACCTGAGTCAAAGGCACACGCTTAACCTACTGAGCCACCCGGATGCCCCCTCTACTGCGGCCTCTACAGGTATGTACAGGTAAGTACAGGTTGAGAAACTCGTTTCCGGTCCCATGGCTGGGAGGTGGCAGGTGGGAGACACTGCACACTTGTTCTAGAACCTACACCCTTGAGCACGGTGCACCCCCACCTCTCCCACCTTCCCGGACACGCCACACACCTGCCCTCCCAGCTGGGGTCAGAGCCCAGGACGCCCCCTCCATCCTCCTGGCTCATATTCTTCCCTCTATCACCCAACAGTTGCGAAATTACATTACTCTGGGGAGTCCTGGGGTGCGGCCCACATCTGTCTCTCCAGACCCCCACAGGGAAAGGAGAGGCCCAGGGGGCAGGGGTGGGACCTCGGGCTCGGCCTGCCGGGACTGCCATCCTGCTCCACCTCAGCCAAGTATCTACCCCTCAGGCCTCAGCTTCCTCATCTGTGAAAAGGGGCGATAACACCCCTCTTGTCGGTTGCCAAGGGGATGAAGCCAATTTTCAAGTGCTAGCCACTTAGGACAGAGCCTTGCCTGTGGCAACAAGGTGTGTGACTCAGTGATGATCCCTGAATTTTTTCTGACCAAAAAAAAAAGACTTCTATCTTTCTCACAGATGTAAGGAAGATAAATTATGCTTAAATAAAAATGTTCTGCCTGAGGGTTTGTTCCATAAAAACAGGCCATAGAAAAGTGTTTTCCAGCTCGTACAAATATCCATGTTTAACAGCTTTCCCCTCAACCAAATTCTTTGCCCCCCGGAGGGCAGGGGTAGAGGCAGGGCCCAGGGGAAGTCTGGGGGTGTCACGAGGGGCCCCCCAGTCCTGAGTAACAGGAGACACAGTCTTTGCTGTGCAAATGCAGACTCAAGACAATCTCCCCAACCCCAACCAATGTAGCCTCTGAGGCCTAATTCTGCAGATAATCCAGACTCTCCCAGGAAGGAAGCCGGTCTGTGACATTCTCTGCTGTGTCCTCAATCACAACCATGCAGTAGGAGCTCAATACATGTTTCCTGATTCCGGCACACAGTTGGCGCTTAATGGATGCTTTTTTGGTCTGGCTCACAGAAGGTCCTGGATAAATGTTTCCTGGGCCTGGCACAGAGTAGGTGCTTGGTAAAGATTTGCTGGGCCTGACAAATATAAGTATTCAATCAATGTTAGCTGGGCCCCACACACAGTGGGTGATCGATAAGTACTTTTAGGGCCCAGCACACAGTAGGTGCTCAATTAATGTTTGGTGGCTACTGGAACTCAGGCAGCGTCCCTGCCCCCACTTCAGAGGGCCGCTGCTCTCCTATGGGTGGTATACTCTGGGCTGCCTGGGGGAGGACAGGCGTCCTTAGGGAGGGATTGGCTTCCACTCACCAATATACTCATCCACTTGGACGTAGCCATCCTTGTTCTTATCCAGATCCTCCAGGGTTTCCTGGGGGAAAGAGAGGCATTGGGGCTGGCTCCTAGAAGGGCTGGGCCCCTGGGGCTGGGATGTGAAGTTTTCTTAGGGAATCTGGCTCGGGCTCGGCTGTATGGGCAGGCGTCAGAGCAGTCTCATTGGGGTCTACCTGTCCTGGGTAGGGGTAGAGGTTGCATGGCTTTCTGGGGCGTATAATGATGTGGGTTCTATCTGCCTTTAGTGGATGGGGGTCAGAGAACACAGATATCCTTGCTTCCACCAAAGAAGACCTGTCCTGCCTCACGCTTTTCCCACACCCAACAGCAAACGCTCTCCAAGGGCAGGAGTCCCTTCTTGTTTAGCAGAGCCCAGACCCCACCTCTATTTTATGTCAGAGCGAGACACACTTGGTGGCCCACTGTGACCCAGGCTCAGTACCTCTGCTCTCAGTTTTCTCTCCACTTTTTGAGCAAACAGCTTCTGTTCCCCACTTTTTAAGATGTGTTTGTTTATTATTTGGGAGAGGGAGTAAAGGACAAAGGGAGAGGGGAGACAGACTCCCCACTGAGCAGGGAGCCTGAGGGAGGGCTTGATCTCACAACCCTGAGACCTTGACCTGAGCCACAATCAAGAGTCAGACGCTTAACTGACTGATCCACCCAGGCACCCCTGTTTCCCACTTTTATATTCAAACTCACTGTAGGATGGGGTAGGGTCTGACACGCCACTACGCCTTCCTCACAAAGAAAGCTCAACATTTTAGGGTTGCCAGAAAAAAATGCAGGATGCTCACTTATGTCCAACTTTCAGATGAACAGCTAATAATTATTTTAAAAAAAGATTTTATTTATTTATTTGACAGAGATCACAAGTAGGCAGAGAGGCAGGCAGGGAGGGGGTAAGCAGGATCCCCCCTGGAGCAAAGAGCCCGATGCGGGGCTTGATCCCAGGACCCCAGGATTATGACCTGAGCTGAAGGCAGAGGCTCAACCCACTGAGCCACCCAGGCACCCCAATAATTCTTTAGAATAAGGATGACCCACACAATATCCAGAACATACTTATACTGCTGGACACAGTTACATTTGAATTTCAGGTATTTTTTTAAAACATAAGTATATCCCAAATGTTGTGTGGGACATACTTATACTAAAAAAATGGTTTATATTACTTGTTACAAATTCAAGTATAATTGAATGCCCTTTGTTATTTGGTAAAGGTGGTAACTCTGTAGCACTTACATATTGAAATTCTTGTTATTTCTTTTAAGTGACTTATTTATTTATTTATTATTTTTAAAGTAGGCTCCACGCCCGGTGTGCCTCTCGAACTTGTGCCTCTGAGATCAGGAGTCACATGGTTTGAATGAGAAAGCCAGAGGGCCCTCTAAGTGACACTCGATATAAATGAATGTAAAAGAGGACAGCAGAGTTTAGACAAGGGCTCAGCAAACTTTTCCCAAAAAGGGCCAGAGAGGAAATAGTTCTGGGTTTGTGTGCTGTATGGTCTCCATTGAAATGACACAGCTCTCTGGTTGTGGCACATGGAAGCCTAGGATCGTGGCTATGTTCCAATAAAACTTTATTTGCAAAAACAAGTTGTGGGCTGGATTCTGCTGCGGGTTAGACAGTTTGTTGACTGTTGGTGTGGATCATGGATTCAACTGCCAGGGTTCAAATCCGAGCTGGGGCACTTCTGGTCTGGGTGATCTCAGGCAAATCTCCCCATCTCTCTGTGCCTAGGCGTCCTCATCTATAAAATGAAGATGGTAGGGTGCCTGGGCGGCTCAGTTGGTTGGGCGTCTGCCTTTGGCTCAGGTCATGACCCTGGGGTCCTGGGATCGAGCCCCACATCGGGCTCCCTGCTCAGCAGGGATTCTGCTTCTTCCTCTCCCTCTGCCCCTCCCCCACTCATGCACCCACACGTGTGCTCTCTCTCTAATAAATGAGATCTTAAAAAAATAATAAATAAAATGAAGATGTTAGCCCACCCCCATATGGTTGCCATGAGGATTCACTCAGGCTAATACTTAGGTCAAGGTGTTACCACGGTGCTCCTGGTACACAGCACACGCTGTCAGGGTCTGTTAAATAATCTCAACTCAGGGGGCCTCTGGCTGACTCAGTCAGTAGAGCACGTGGCTCTTGGTCTTGAGGTTGTAAGTTCAAGTTCCACGTTGGAGGTAGAGATTACTTAAAAAACAAAATCTTAAAAGAAAAAAACCTCAAGGGCGTAAAAGGTATTTCAACATTATCTGCTATAAAAAAAGGACTTTGGGTCTTGGAGGGTGGGGAGTCTAGTGGGTTTGAGAAGGCTGGGTTAATGACCTCTCTCCTCTCCGGATTGTAGTCACCTCTGGAATGGGCCGGAAGGCCCACCTCAACGGTGCACACATTGGGTCAGTAAAATGCCTGAGAAATATCGGAAGCAACTGCAAACACACATCCCAGTGGGAGCAGGGATTCTACTGCTAGAAGTTTTCTCCTGTAGCTATACTGACACATGTATGCAATGTGACGTAAGGAGCATTTATCACCAATTTTGTAGGTTTACATGTATTAACTCATCTAGTCCCTACAACCAGCCCTGATGTAGGAATAGTTATCAGTACCACAATTTTATAGATGAAGAACAAGTCCAGAGAGGTTAAGTAACTTGCCCAAGGTCACACAGCCAGGAAGCTGCAGGGCTGGGACTTGAACCCAGGCCTCCTGGCCCCAGAGCCCTTGATCCTAACAGGCTTGCCACAGACCCTCACACCAGCTGTGGAAATGGAGCCACAAGAGAAGGGTTGGGGGATAGTGTCGAGGAGATGGGAAAGGTAGAGGGTTATCCAGTTTTCTGGGGTCCTTTGGGCATTTAAACACATTAGTATGTTAGCTATTTTAGACATTCAACTACATTATTTTTTCATTTTTTATTTTTTTAAAGATTTTATTTATTTATTTGAGAGAGAGAGAACAGAGGGAGAGGGAGAAGCAGACTCTCTGCTGAGCAGGGAGCCTGACAGGGGGCTCGATCCCAGGACCCCGGGGTCATGATCAGAGCCAAAGGCAGATGCTTCACCAGTTGAGCCACCCAGGTACCCCAAAACTACATTTTAAAAATAATTTTTAAAATAATAATTTGTGGGGATGCCTGGGTGGCTCAGTTAGTTATGTCTGTCTTCAGCTCAGGTCATGGATCGAGTCGTGCTTCGGGCTCCCTGCTCAGTGGGAAGCCTGCTTCTCCCTCTCCCTCTGCCCGATGTTCCCCCTGCTTAAGCGCTCTCTTGCTCTCTGTCAAGTAAATAAATAAAATTTAAAATAATAATAATAACAGTCAGTGAAAATTTAGGCATGGTAGAATTGGGTGTAAATCCTTCCACGAAGAGTGAACCCTCATGTGAACTATGGACTTTGGGTGGTGACGTGTGGGTTTTGGTCTGTCCACTGTATCGAGTGTCCCACTTTGGTGCACGATGTTGATGGGGGGAGTGTGTGCATGTGGGGGCAGGGGCAGTGTGGGAAATCTGTGGACCCCTTGCTCAATATGGCCCCGAACCTAAACCTGCTCTAAAAATTAAGGTCTGGGGCATGTGGCTGGCTCAGTTGGTGGAAAATGTGACTCTTGATCTTGGGGTTGTGGATTTGAGCTCCAGATCAGATCTGGAGATTATTTAAAAATAAAATCTGGGGTGCCTGGGTGGCTCAGTGGTTTAAAGCCTCTGCCTTCGGCTCAGGTCATGACCCCAGAGTCCTGGGATCAAGCCCCACATCGGGCTCTCTGCTCAGCAGGGAGCCTGCTTCCTCCTCTCTCTCTGCCTGCCTCTCTGTCTACTTGTGATCTCTGTCAAATAAATAAATAAAATCTTAAAAAAAAAAAAGAGAGAGAAAGAGAGAGAGGAGGAAGCAGGCTCCCTGCTGAACAGAGAGCCCGATGTGGGGCTTGATCCCAAGACCCTGAGATCATGACCTGAGCCGAAGGCAGGGGCTTAACCCTCTGAGCCACCCAGGCACTCCTCCTCCTCTCTCTCTGCCTGCTTCTCTGCCTACTTGTAATCTCTGTCTGTCAAATAAATAAATAAAATCTTAAAAAAAAAAAAAAGTACACCTGGCCAGCTCAGTTGGTGGAGCATGGGACCCCCTTTAAAAAAAAAAAAAAAAAAAGAGTCTGCCTTCAGCTCAGGTCATGATCCCAGCATCCTGGGATCAAGTCCCGAGTCAGGCTCCCCTGGCTCAGCAGGGTGCCTGCTTCTCTCTCTCCCTCTGTGTGTACTCTCTCACTCTCTCTCTCTCAAATAAGTAAATAAAATTTTTAAATAAATATAAAATAAAATAAAACTTTTAAAAATAAAATAAAAATAAAACTTAAGGTCTGTTGGGGGAAAAAATGAAGGAGAAAAAAATCCTTCCACTACTGGGGAAGCTGGGTGGCTCAGTTAGCTAAGTGTCCAGCTCTTGATTTTGGCTCAGGTTATGATCTCCGAGTCATGAGATCGAGCCCCAAGTCAGGGTCCACATTGGGCATGGAGCCTGCTTAAGATTCTCTCTCCCTCTTTCTCTGCCCCTCCCCCCTTTCTGCCTAAAAAAAACAAAAACAAAACCTGCCACCATAAAATGGAGAAGGAATTGGGGTTGGCACAAAAATTATAAAGGAATAAGAAGACAAAAGGGGTTAGCAGAAATGGCCTCAGAGTAGACACTGCATGTGCGGGGTTGGGGTTTTGGGTTTTTCAGGGGTTTGGCCAGGATTGGTGCTCCCTGAGGCACTTCTGGGGAATGTATTTTCAGGCCAGGGGCCTGGACTCCAAATGTGAGGACAGGAAGGGGAAGGCAGACCCAGGACAGACCAGACACGAGGAGGTCAGGCGACGGACAGGGGAGAGGCTGCCCTCCACGGATCTGTTTGCAGGCTAGGTTCCCTGGGGAAGGTGCTGGAAAACCAGGTAAACACTGGTGGGCTGGGCCTGACCTCAGAAGCCCGGGTCCCAGGAGGTGGGTGGGAAGTGGCGAGCAGCCTCCTCGGGCCCCAACTCACAGCAATCACGATGTCTCGCATGTGAGGGAACTCCTCGGGGTGCAAGAAGGCTGTCAGCTCCTCCCGCGTGGCCATCGAGTCCCCGTCCTGGTCCGCCACCCGGAAACGCCGCTCGTCCCGAGCCAGCATTTTCTTGTAGGTCTCGGCGTCCTCCACGTCATGAAATTCCTCACCTGGGGAAGGGGACAATCTCTTTCAGCTGTGTTTTACTGGAAGGAACGCCAGGCAGGTTGAGGGACAAGACAAAGGACTCAGCTCAGTAGAATCAGAGCAGGAAGGCCCCCACAGAACTTGTAATAATTAATGTATATTCATTGTTTACTTATATTAGCAACGTTGTCATTAAAGCTTATTATATGCAAAGCTCTTTCCCTACAAAATTGCATTTAATTCTCACAAAAAGCAAGTCAAGAGAGTCTTTTCATCTATTCTCACTTTATGAAGGAGAAAATGGATTCCCACAGAGAGGAAATAACCAGCCCGAAGTCATGCAGCCAGGAAAGGAGCTCTGAGTTGACACTGGCCCTTTGGGCCCCAAGGTCACCCTCTGGTGCTTTAAGGTATACAGACTCGGGTTATAGGACAGAGAATAGGAGAAGGGCGTTTTCAAGAAAGGAAAGGGTATGAGCGGAATGTAGAGGTTTGAAGAGCTCCTGAGTTCAGGGAAACTACAGAAGGTCCACTTGGCTGGCCAGATAATGCAGAAAAACAAAGCCAGAGGGGTGGGCCAGGCTGGGCTGAGGAGCTGGGTGTCTCTTCTGGAGACCCGGGGAGAGCCATGAAGGGCTGCGAGCAGGGGAGAATTAGGATCAACTCCATGGGTGGGAAGACCCCTCTGTGATATAGGGACAGACTGGAGGAGTAGTGTGGAGGGAGGGCCCATAAGGAAGAAAACAAGAGCAGTGGGGGTCGCTGGGCTGGGGCATGGGGACAGACAAGAAGGAACACAGTCGGGGCATGGGGTAAATGGATTTGAGTTTTGTTTTTTTTTTTTTTAAGATATTATTCATTTGATAGAGAGCAAGAAAGCATAAGCAGGAGGAGCAGCAGATGAAAAAGGAGAAACAGCCTCCCTGTTGAGCAATGAGCGTGATGCAGGACTCGATCCCAGGACCCCAAGATCACGACCTGAGCCGAAGGCAGATGCTTAACCTACTGAGCCACCCAGGAGCCCCAGGATTTGGGGTTCTGTCAGAGATCAACGGTCAGGATGACAGGGCATGGGAGGTAGATGTCCCTGGGCAAGGATCCCCCAGTCACGATAACAGAGGTCGTGGATGCCATCACGAGTGAGAAGCCAGAGATCAGGGATTGGGAGTTTCTGGTGATGAAGTACTGGAAGTTGGTAGAACTTGATCAAGGGTTAGAAGCAAAGGTTAGGGATTCTGTTTCGTAGGCTAAAGGTTCTCAGAATGAGGCTGTCAAAAAGGTCAAGGTCACAGTATGTGTGTTTTCGGGGGCGCAAGAGTCGGGATCTCGCCGCGTACCCGGCGCATAGTGGCCGTAGGTGGCGTTGCGCAGCTCCTCCCAACCCACGCGCCCGTCGCGGTCCGTGTCGTACGTGTTCCAGGCCGCGGTCACCGAGTCCCGTATGTGCCGCTGCTGCGTGTGCGCGATCCAAGCACGGAGCTCGGCCAGCGACACCCAGCCGTCCCCGTCCCCTGCACGGTCCATGCGGTCCACGATGCGCCTGCGAGTCGGGGCGGGGCACAAGTCAGTCGCAGACTCCGCCCACCAGGAGACCCGCCTTCGCCCAGGCTCCGCCCCTCACACGGAGCCACGCCCCACCTGAAACACAATCCCCCCATATAGGGTTGATAAAACGGTACCAGAGCCGCCCGCGCACCGAGGGGAGACACCGGCCAATCCCGGGCCATGCCCAGGACAGAGCTCCGCCCCCTCAATCCAGGCGCTGCGGGTCTACGGCGGGCGCTGCGGTCCTCCACACGCCCTGGTTGGGGGAAAGACCTAAAGCAATCCTGGGCCACATCCGTCACCCCGACTCCGCCCCTGGGCCCTCACTTGCTCCCCTCTCTCATTTGTCCGAGTTGGGGTGGGGGCAAGGAGGAGGTGTCACATCGCACCCCTCGCCCGCCAGTCCCCTAGGCCAAGACTCTCTCTGAACTCTTGATGGCCACGGCCACGCACACACCCGACCCCTCGCCCTTTCAGGCGCGGCGGGTCTTCAGGGCATCCCTTCCAACCCCCCCGCTGCCCCGCCCGCCTGGCTGCTCTGGCCTATTTCAGGCCCCTCTCCCTCCGGTCCGACCCGGTGCTGCGTCCCGCCCCTACCCCCTACTTCCTCCAGACCGTCTCAGGCTTCGCCCGAGGACCATCACCCGCCACCATCAGTTCCTTCCTCCTGCTTCGGCCGGATCATGGGCACCGTGCGGTCTATGAAGCCCCTGAAGGCCGTTCCTCGCGCACCTTCTCTCGGGCCGTTCGGATCTGCTCCCAGGCCTCCTCCCCCGTCCCCCGGCCACTCCCGCCACCGGTTTGGGTCTTTACCCAACCGCTCACAGAGCCCACAAGGAGCGCTCCTCTTGGTCACCGTTCTTAAACCCCGCAACCCAGTTCCCAGGGTCGAATCCGACACGGCTGTGCCCAGATCACCGGCCCCTGCAACCCCCGCGCGACAGGCTGTGTCTGCTCTGATCAGTCTGGAGCTGGAGTCCCGGGATTCCCACGCTACCCTGAGGTTCAAGCTGTTGTTAAGACCGTGGGCTCCACGGCTAGATATTTTAGGTTCAAATCCTATCGCCTCCTCTTGCTGGCTGTGTGACCGTGGGCAAGCCACTGAAACCTCTCTGTGCCTCAGTTTACCCCCTCTGTAAAATGGCGGATAAATAAATGATAGAACCTACCCTTAAGTCTGGTTGTGGGGATTAAAGAAGTTAACCCTTGTAAAGCACTTAGAACAGCGCCAGGCATTGCAGGGATGCTACGCCAAATGTGAAGCCTATTATGCTGCCTTTCTTCTTCCCTCCTTCACCCAGTCCCATCCGCGCAGTCTCCCAGCCAGCAGTCAGCACCACTCTCTCCATCCTGATCTAGTCATCATCCCCTCCTGTCTTCCAACTGCACCGCTGCAGACGCTTCCTTACCTAGTCTGTTCCCCAAAAGGTAACCAGAAGGATTCTGTTGAAACCTAAGTCAGCTCACACCCTCCCTCTGCTTAGAGTCCTCCCATGGCTCTCATCTCCCTCAGAGAAATGCTGAAATCTTCACTGTGGCCTGAAGGCCCTGACCTCTTTTCCCCTTCTCTGCCATCACTTTCCACATTCTCCTCTTCGATCACTGGGTTCCAGCCACATGGGCCTCACTGTTCTGCAAATATCAGGCCCGTTCCTGCCTCAGGGCCTTTGCACTTACAGTTACCTCTGCTTGGAGTGCTATTCCCCCATATATCCACACGGCTCAAATATTACCTTCTCACTGAAGCCTCCCTTCACTTCCCTGTTAAAAATTACAACCCTGAATCCTCTCCTCCGTCTCTCTCCTACCCCAGACGCGCTCGGCTTTCCTCTGGGCTGAGCTGGTCGAATTCCTTGGCCACTTCTCGTCCCAGGAAAGCCTCATGGTCGTACTGGAAATTCCCGTGGGCGTCATCATGAGGGGCCTCGCTCAGGGGGGCCGCCTGGTGTACCCTCCCCTGGCCATGAGGGCCTGCATCAGGGGATGGCTTGCCCTGGGCCCCGTGCCTCAGCAGCAGCAGCAGCAACAGCAGAAGTGATGGTCGCCACATCATCAGTCCCTAGGGAGCAGTGGAGGCTAAAAGTCAGGGGTCATAGGAAAAATAGAGACAGGACAGGAGAATGGGGGTGGGGACGGAGAGACAGAAGACAAGACAGAGAGATGGTAGCTGGCCACAAAGTTTAGGGCTCAAGAAGGGCCGGGGGTGGGAAAAAGGGGGGCGGGGTTCTCAGAGGTAAAAGCAGAGGTAGTGACTGAATCTTCTGAGGGAGTCCCAGACGGGTCCCAGAGCCGCTGCTGGGGGGTTTCAAGCGCGAGACGTGGCGCACTTCCCACGCACACTGCGGGGCGGGGTGGTGTCCAGAGAGCAATCATGCAGGCCCCCAGGCGTTATTTGCAACCCGGACCCACTTTCCCGGCTCGAAAGAACCCGGACCGTCCTCCCTGGGCAAGCCACCCGCCCTCACCTCCCTTTACCAGTTTAGCCAGCTTCACTTCGCTCTACACAGTGGGCTCTGCTTTCTCTGAAAAGATGCCCAATTTAGCGGCTCTCCAGCCAGGCCCCGCCTCCAGAAGCGCAGAAACCCCGCCCTCCGACCAATGAGCTCTCAGAAGGGGACCCCCAAGGGGCAGGGCCGGTGAGCTCCGCGAAGACCGCGGGCCCCGACGCCACGTCCACAGAGAAGAGCGCGGCCCCAGAGGTTCCGCCCGGCTTCCCAGGGCAGGCGGGTGGGCGGCCCGGGAGGGACGCGGATGCCCAGAACTACAACTCCCGGCAGGCATCGCAGCGGCCTGCCAGACCACCGACCACGTCCAGCGGTACTATTTCCCCAAGCCTCTTGGGTGGTGGTTTGGGGTTTTTTGGAGTTTGGGGTTGTTTTGTTTTGTTTTATTTATTTATTTAAGTACTCTCTACACTGAGGGCGAAGCTGGAGCTCACCACCCCAAGATCAAGAGTCGCATCCTCTTCCGACTGAGGCCAGGCGCCCCGGGAGGTGTATCTTTATCTTTCCCTTTGTCAGCACGGTTTAAGAAAGAAGGGAACCAAGGGCCCAGAGGAGGCATCCCCTTCCCTCAAAGAGGGAACAATGCTTCTCTTCCACTCCACCCAAGGTGACAGGTCCGACTCCAGCCAAGAATTCCTCAAAATGTGTGGCACAGTGTCGGCATTTGGTAAATATTGGTGAAACTTACGAGTGAAAAAGACGTGACTTGGTATATAAAATTGGCATATTCCACAACTGGCAACTGCCTCCGGAGAGATCTGAAGCCCAGGGCTTATGTTCTTTATCCCTACCCCTCCTACGACACACACACATGTTCTCCTAACGACCCCCCCCCCCCCCCCCCCCCCGCGCCCCTCGAAAGTCGAAATGATAAGAACACAATGATTCGGGCCCAAACTCGTGTTTATAGGTGGAGGTGGAAAAGAGCCATGATCATCAGGAGGGGAAACTGAGGCAGATCACACAAGAGGAGAAATCCAGAAGATCATTGGGCCCAGGACTCTTTCTGGAGGCTCAGAAATACCAGGATTCCAGGAGGTCTCACAGCATGAAGGGGGCCTGACTACATTAGCTGGTGGTAGCCAGGATGGAGGGTGATATCAGCAACTGAGAATGAATTTACGTGCTACGAGTCGGCATCCTTGGGCACGCCGGGATCGGGCAGGAGGGCCCCAACATCCTCTTCCCCACGGAGAGACATCCAAGGGGCTGAGGGAAGAGGAAGTGGTTGGGGGAGGTCATGAGAATCTTTGAAATCCCCGGGGTTCCTGACTGCCCCTCCCCCACGTGTGTGTCTGTCTGTCTTTCCCAGTCTCTGTCCTACTCCACAGGTTTCTGTCCCCGCTCAGAGCCTCTGTTTCCTCCCTCCCATCCCACCACCTCCCGTGTCTCTGTTCCTTTCTGTCTAGATCCATGGCCCCCCCTTGGCCCCACTCCAGGTCTGTCCCTCTCTGAGTTCTTTCCCTCTTCCGGCTCCACACCTGGAAGCCCCTTTCTCATCCTCCTCCACAGCAGAGCTCCTCCTGCGGCCACTGCCGTGAGCAGTAAGAAGCCAACGACGATTCCGATCACGGGCACCGAGGATCTGGCTGGTGATTCTGCAGCCAGAGAATGATGTGAGATGCAGAGGGAACCCTCCGGCCCATCGGAGCCAGGGCCAGAGCCTGGGGATTCTCAGTCCCTCCCAACCACACAGATCACAGCATCAGGTTTTTGGGGAGTGGGTGTGGACAGAGGGAACGCCGGTCAGCTGATGTTCTAGGTCTGTGCAGAACGCCCCCGCTTTGCATAGAAGAGTCAAAATGGGTCCCAGTCCCACTGGCCAAGGGACCCATAGCAGCAGGGTGCATGGTAGTCTGACTCGGAGAGAGGAAGGGCGGTCACAGAGCAGGAGCCCGTCAGATTCACAGAGGACTGGCCGTGGCTGAGGGACAACAGGCAGCAGCAGACAACAAATGGTCAGACTAGCAGCCGCAGCGGGGAAGGCAGACCGCAGCAGTGGGGCGGAAGGCGGTTGCAAGGCAGCCAGAGACAGAGAGTATCAGGCCTCCGCAGGACCTTACCCAGCTCCACTGTGAGGGGCTGCGGCAGCCCAGCATGCTGCACCACACAGCAGTAGTGGTGCTCGTCGCCGCTTTTGACCGTCAATGAAGACCAGGCATGGAAGGAGCCGTCGCCATTGGGGCCAAAGTCACCTTCTCCGGAGCCCGCAGCCAGCCCGTTCCGGAGGAACCGCAGTTGTAGCTCCGGGGGATAGAAGGAGAAGGCACTGCAGGTGAGCACAGAAAAGCCAGGGCTCCCAGGTCGGGCCTTCAGGCGCATGGAGGGAGGCTCTGCAGACAAACAGGCAGATAGACCTAAGCCCCAAGCCCATGAACCCCTAGGGCCAGACCTGGTGAGGGCCGGGGAAGGATGTACAGAAGCCTCCATTCCTTCCACTGTAGCCAGCAGGCCCTGCCCTGTCTCCTACACTGTGCTGAGCCTGGAGGATAGAGTGGCAAAGGTAAAGGGACATTCCTGAGGGGATGGGGACCCCCACCTATCCACAGTGAGGATATCCACTGCTCATCCATCCATTCCTTCCTACAACAGACACACACTGAATATCAACCATGTGCCAGACACTCTTCTAGGCACCCAGGACACAGCAGTAAAGACAGACAAAGTTTAGCATCTGCCTTCAGCTCAGGTCATGATCCCAGGGTCCTGGGATTGAGTCCTGTGTCCAGCTCCCTGTTTGGCAGGCAATCTGCTTCTCCCTCTCTCTCTCCCCCATTAGTGCTCTCTCTCTTTCTCTCTCTGTGTCTGTCTCAAAAAAATAAATAAAATCTTTTTAAGCAAAAGTCCTGTCTTCGTGGAGCTCATGTTCTAATGAGGGAAGAGAGATAAATATTTGTGTCCAAATAAATGAAAAGGAAACAGACCGTGAAAGTGTTGTGATGAGAGAAAATAAGACAGATCCTACGGTGGTTAAAGGGTAGTAAGCAGACATGAAAACCGTCATACCAGTGCATTTGAAATTGAAATGAACTGGACAAATGCCTAGGAAATGCAACCTTCCAAAACTGACACAAGAAGAAATAAAAAAACTTGAGTAGTCCTATAATGATTGAATAATTTTAACCCATAACTTAAAAACTTTCCAACAATAAAAGTCTAGGCCCAGGTGACGTCATTGGTGAATTCTTAAAACAAACAAATAAACAAACAAAAACAAGTAGCACATCTACACTTAATTTAGGAAAAAGGCTTCCCTGTAATTCCGTGGAGGAGACAGGAAGGTGGTCTTACAACAAATGATGCTGGGTCAACTGGAGATCCTCGAGGGACAAATGAACCTTGAACCCTTACTTCACACCCTCACATGCAATTACCTCAAGATGGATCACTGTTACATGTAAAAGTTACTTATCAACCAAGCTTCTAGAAGACCTAGAACCTTCATAGCTTTGGGAGAGGAAAGATTTCCTAAAGAGAACACACACAAAAGCTACAGAGAAAAGATGGATGGGTTGCTCTTCATTAAAATTAAGAACTTTTGTTCATTAAAATGTTTCATCAAGGGCACCTGGGTGGCTCAGTGGGTTAAAGCCTCTGCCTTCAGCTCAGGTCATGATCCCAGGGTCCTGGGATCGAGCCCCACATTGGGCTCTCTGCTCCGTGGGGAGTCTGCTCCTCCTCAACTCTCTCTCTCTGCCTACCTCTCTGCCTACTTGTGATCTCTGTCTGTCAAATCAATAAATAAAATATTTTAAAAAAAATGTTTCATCAAGAGGGTGAAAAGATAAGCTGCACACCAGGAGAAGCTATTTCTAATAGAACCATCTGACCTAGCCAAAAGATTCATATCCAGAATATATCAGGAACTCTAATAAGAAAAAGACATAAAAATTCCAATTTAACAATGGGCAAAAACTCGCACACAGCCACTCCAAAAGAGTGGACACTCCACTGTCAATAACATGAAGAAGTTCCCCATCACTAGTCATCAACTTGTTGACCTGAATTTTTTAAAAGATTTATTTAGGGCGCCTGGGTGGCTCAGTGGGTTAAAGCCTCTGCCTTCGGCTCAGGTCATGATCTCAGGGTCCTGGAATCGAGTCCCGCGTCGGGCTCTCTGCTCAGCAGAGAACCTGCTTCCTCCTCTATCTCTCTCTGCCTGCCTCTCTGCCTACTTGTGATCTCTCTCTGTGAAATAAATAAATAAAATCTTTTAAAAAAATAATAAAATAAAAATAAAATAAAAGATTTATTTATTTGAAGAGGGAAGGAGGAGAGGGAGGGAGAGAGAGAATCCCAAGCAGACTCTCTACTGAGCACAGAGCCCAGTGCGGGGCTCGATCCCACGACCCCCAGATCACAACCCGAGCTGAAACCGAGAGCCAGAGGCTTCACCAACTGAGCCACCCAGGCGCCCCCTCACTGTTCTGATTTTGTCCGATTTTTCCAAATCATGTACATGGTGCTCATTTATCATCAGAGAAATGTAAAATGCTTCACAGTAAGACACCACCACATACCAACCGGAATGCTTCAAACTCAAGACAGACGATATCAAAGTCTGGCAAACCTGTGGAGCAACTGGAGTTCTCAAACACAGCTGGTGGGACTCTGAAACGGGCTCAACCCCTTTGAGCAAAATGTTTAGCTCTACCTGCTATAGCTAATCTGGGGCCTACACCACCATACACAAACGGGCTCACGCTTAAGGTCATCTGAAGTTCAAAATCAGTCAACGCCATGTTGATAAAAATTGGGTCAGCTGTTGCCCTTGGGAGGTATGGAATGGGAGGGGACACAAGGAAGTCTTGTAAGGTGCCGAAAATGTTCTAGATCTTGGTACACAGGCATCCATTAAACACAATCAATGTACTTTAGGTAGGTGAGTTATACCTCAATGAAAAAGAAAAAACAGAGACACTGTAGTGAATGAATGGACAAAACAGTGGCATGGGAGGGGGTGCCTGGGTGGTTCAGTGGGTTAAAGCCTCTGCCTTCGGCTCAGGTCATGATCCCAGGGTCCTGGTATGGAGCCCCACATCGGGCTCTCTGCTCAGCA